TGAAGGGCGCTGCACGGAGGGACATGCCTCGCTGACCCACATTCTGCAACGGCCCTGGGGGAGGGGCACCCCCAGAAACAAGCTGCTTGCTCCTCACACAGCAAACACACATATTTTCTCACCACCAGCGGGGCCGCTGCCAGGAAATCACACAGACCCCAAATACAAAGCAGGCCCAAAGAAAACAGAGGGACAAGACTCCCGGTCTGCTGTTCACGGGGCACTGAAGTTCAGGGCAAGGTCCTCCCCAGGGGGTCACATGGTCCAGATCAAACCCTCCCCAGAGGCCCTGCGCTGTGTTTATGCAGGTGAATCAGGAGGCAGGGGACCTGGGAAGAGGATGGGTCCTGAGTGGCTCTTCTGTGCCAGGCGTTGCGCTGTGGCCTCCCGGTTCCTTGTTTTCCCTCTCTCTGTGAGGTCGGGATTATTATCATTCCTCTTTTACAGATCCGTGAGGTTAAGCAACGTGCAGAGACCCCTGGGCAGCAGCAGCACTTGCGTTCAAAGCCCAGCCTGCAGACCACAGGGGTGTTGCTCAGCAACAGGCTGCCCATTGCTAGAACATGAGCTCGCTGCCCACCAGAGCTCCTGGTCCCTGCCACCCGTGCGCAGGAAATCAGTTGGTGACAGTGCAGGGGCAGCGTGACGTGTGTATACATAGGCATTCAACCCTCTCTTTCTTCTTTGTAATTTTTTTCCCCTCTTTTAAAGCCACCTAATAAAGTCTCTCTGTCCCCTTCATCCCTCTTTGATTGTGGGATATCTGAGCAAACTGATGGACAGCAAGCTGAAGGTCCCAGGCCAGGAGGCATTGCCCTGCTTTGCTCTACGCAAGTCTTGCATCTGGCGAGCAGAATCATCAGGACAGGACGTCGTGGAGATTAGACAGCTTACAGACAGGCACTGGGAAAGCCGGGGCGGCCGTCCCCAGCACACCACGGCTCCAGGTGCAGCCATGGCTGTGACACGCACACAAGGAGGACACACATGGAAGTCCTACTTAGCACTTGTGCATCTGGCCTGCATACAACAGGAAACGGGATAATGTTGTTCCCTTTGGATGAGGCATGGCCAGCTGATTAATGATGTGAGGGAGAGTGGGCCGAGAAGGAGAGCCTACAAATGTTTCTTTTAGGAGAGCCGGAGCAGGCGCTGGGAAAGAAAGGTGTGCATTGTGAGGGGGTGGCGGGCAGTGTTGGGCTAATTAGGGCTCGGTTAATGCTGGTGAGTGTCGAACATTCTTGCTAATGGCTGTTGCTAATGGGAGGAATGGGATCATTTGTTAACTTTGCTCAGGAAAGTGAGTGTTGAAGGCAGGATGGAGGAAAAAGGAGGTGAGCATGGACCACTTTGGCTAAGCTGAATGAAAAGTGGAAAAAATGCCTCATGATTTTTTTTTTTTTTAAACAGAGCAAGACCTAATGTGACACGGGCCTTTGTGTGAAAGGGGTCGCCCCTCTGTATGGCGCCTGCCTGATTTTCAAGCCCTTTGGTCATTTTCCAGCTAACCTTTCCCCCTGTGCAACATGCAGGTATTTTTGAATGAAAATTGCCTTGGAGGTTTGTGCTGTTAAAACTTACTGGAAATTGTGCTATGTCCTTTTAATTGCATGATTTTATTCAAGTTTACAACAAAATTGCGTAACGTATAGTACATTTAATTCCTGCTTTACAGATGGGAGAATTAAAGCTCAGAGCCCTCGTCTACACAGAAATGAATTGGCACTGCTATTTCTAAGGCCTTATATTTTATATGCCTTTATTACCTTTAAGACTCACCCCAGTAAATTTTTCAAAAATACTTTTCTAAATCACCAGTGTCTAGTTTTATTTTATTTTCTAATCCAGCAAATACTTTCACTCCAGGGGCCACACACACAGCTCTCTGGCCCTCTGAATCCGCAGTAACACCTGAGTCACGTGGGTAATCAAGATGGACCGACTCGAGAAATAAGAACTTGCACTGTTCTTCACTGGTGAATTCTGAATGGCATTCTCTCCTCTCTGGAGAGCCTTCCCAGGTTTTGTACTTTGCCACCTTGACCTACATAAGCAGAATGCTGGCATAAACACCACTGGGCAGAGCCTAGGTATACGCACATCTGACTCCAGTCAACATTTTGGGCAAGGAATTGCCACTTACCAGCTTTTGGCCAGAGTGTTTGCATGTACAACATGTCCCACAAACTACAGTATTCCTCTTCACATGGACAAGGGACTGGGTAACCGTGGCAAGAATCAAAAATAGTTTTCAAAATGGATGGAGAGTGTTCACATAGATGTTCCCAGGTCTGTGGTATTCCCAAAGGCCTTTTAAGGAGTTCCTTTAAAAAAAATTATCCTCAACCCCCCATTCCAATTCTCCACCCCCCCCCACTCAAACCCCCACCCCCCTATTGATTGACCACTGATTAGGCTCATACCTTAATCAATAAAGAAATTAAAAATAAATAAATAAATAAATAAATAAATAAATAAAAATTATCCACAACCAGAACCGACAAAGATAATTTCAGTATCATAACCAATTTTTGGTGACTTGGAAAGGCTGCATGAAAAGGTCACAATTCTGTTGCATCTTAGCTTATTACTGAGGTTGAACTCATGCAGAGAAGAGTCTAAGCCAAACAAAAAGCACCCTGCTGTGATGGTTGATTTTATGTGTCAACTGGACTGCACTAAGGGAGGCCCCGATGGCTGGTAAACATTTATTCCTGTGTGTGTCTATAAGGGTGCTTCTGAAAGAGATCAGCATCTGAATCAGTAAACTAAGTAAAGAAGGCTGCTCTCACCAGTGTGGGCAGGCATCATCCAATCTCCTGAGGCTCCAAACAAGTTGGAGGGAGGGAAAACTCTCTCTTCTTGAATGGGACATCCAGCTTCTCCTCCTGCCCTGAGACATCAGAGCTCCTGGCACATGGGCCTTCAGACTCCAGGACTTCAACCAACATCCCCTCAGGCCTTTGACCTTTGGACTGGGACTTCTACCATCATCCCAGCTGGTTTTCTGCACTTCAGACTCAGGCTGAATTACACCATTAACTTCCCTGGTTCTCCAGCTTGCAGATGACATTCTGTGAGACTTCTCACCCTTCATAATCACATTAACCAATTCCCATAATAAATCTCTTTTTATATGCCTATATATCTACATATCTATATTTATATTCAGATAGGTAGGTAGGTAGGTAGGTAAGTAAATTGATAGATAGATATCCTATTGGTTCTGTTTCTCTGGAGAACCCTGACCAATAAAGCGGTCTGCATGTATGTGTAGTTTTCCATGCTCAATAACAAAGTAAAGAATTAGAAAATAATTTTAAAAAACAAATAAAATCTGAAAAAAAGCACAAATCATTCTTTAATGTCACTCATCATTTTGAATAAAATCATTAGTTATATATTTATATCTCAACACATAAAACAATTTAAATAGTCATTAGCCTTGTATTCTATTCTAGGCTATGTATGATGGGAGAAGACCAATACTCGAGGAACTTATTGACTAGATAAATGCTGAATTACAGGAAGAGACCCAAAGCAAAAGCTGTTTGTGAGTATAGGCTAGAAGGACCAGTCAGAAACCAAATGCTCTCTCAAGCCCTCATCTCTGTAAAGTCTTCCTGTACTAATTTGTAGAACTTGAGTCTCAGAGCTCACCAGCTTTCGTTCCCAACTGCTAGTCTAGTGCCTGCCCTCTTGCTCTGTCACTAACACTACGGAAAGAGTTAAACTGATACTTGATTGGTTATAGAAGTACACACATAGTAAATAATTTTAAAATTCTGTTCCTAGATTGCAATGGGAATTAAATTAAAGATTTTTCTCTTTGAACTCTACAGTGGAGCTGTGGCAAAAATATGGGGGAAAAAGCAATAGCTAACATGGATTAAAAACTTATGCATGCCAACCACTGTCTTAAATATTTCATACTATTTCAACTGCCACAGCTATCATTTGATGTTGATACCATTATTATCTCCACCTTCTGAGGAAATTGAGACTTATGGGAATTAAACAACCTGCCGAGGATCGCCGTGATATGGGACGTGAAAGGATTGAAACCCAGGCAGTGTAGCCTGGAACCTGCATGTTTTATTCTCTAGAAGACCCCTCAGAGGACTTTAATTAAGGCTATCTAAAACCTCTCCTGATATCCAAACTAAGCTTCAACTCCAATGAAGACAGTCCCCAGAAATCTGTCTCAACCCCTAATGATTTGACCAACTCAAATTGGCATGGAACTTGGGTAAAGATAAAATCAGAACTAGACAAATATTATTGGAGCCTATAAACCCAAGCTGGGGACTGGATTTTACATATTCTTCTCTGCGTGTACACAGAAGGGACATATGTGTGTTTAAATGTTTAAGGATAGGATGAACAGCAAGACAGGCGGTGTAAGTATTATTCTACCACACTGTCCAGCCAGAGGGAAAATGCTTTGACCTTATGAAACAAAAATGGTCTTGCTGTGAAAGAAACACCAAACACTAAAGCTAAACTGAAATCTAACCTCCATATCTAGAACAAATTCTCAGCTGGCAAAAGTCGCCTCTATATTTGCAGAAAGTTCTCCAAACTCTGTCAGGATGAACGATAATAAATGATTGGGTCCACAAATGAGTTTGTCATTAATTTTGACAGTACCAGAAATTGCACAGCCATATATGGGATTGATGTGCTGAGTGATACAGTAATGCTAAAAGATATTTTAAAAGAAAGTCGTAGAATTAATATTGCTACACATTAAATATTTGGGTGTTCAAATATCAATTCCTAAAGACCCAGAAAATGATTATGAGTGTTTGTACTCAAATATATGAATAAGTCACATTAATAGTCATGTATTCCCAGTCAGTTTGTTACTATGGAGTCACATGTGATGTCATAAATTTGACATTCTATGCACGCCTGGACTGAGCAACAGAAGAAACAGAAAATGGCGCTGGAGAGATGAACACCTGCATAACAGCAAAAGAATTTCAATAGTTAAAGAAATGAGTCAAACATCTCTGAAACAGAAAAAGAAGGTGAGTGAAGTAGACATCCTAGAATCTTACCAAAGAGTCAAAGAATGTTAAATATCCATCCTTCATTGACTTCTGGGGCTTCTCTGAAATTATGGAATTATTTCAGATAAAATATCAAATTATTTCCCTACTACATGTAGGGAAAATAGAGGCAGAAGTAAATGATCAGAGGGGAGAAAAGGAGATTAAAGTATACAATATAAGTCCATCTGATAAATCAGCACTTAGGGAGGATAGGCACATACACTAGTTTTAGGAGGTGAAAACAGTTGCTGACCCCTGGATAATTCTTCCCCTGCATATCACATACTACAATTTTTAAAAACGTTTTTTTATTGATTTCAAAGAGGAAGGGAGAGGGAGAGAGAGCTAGAAACATCAATGCTGAAAATCATTGATTGGCTGCCTCCTTATATGTCCCTTACTGTGGATGGAGTCCGCAACCCAGGCACATGTGCTTGACTGGAATCAAACCTGAGACTCTTCAGTCGGCAGCCTGACACTCTACCCACTAGCCAAACCAGCTAGGGCCCGTATTACAAATTTTAAATGATATATGCCTCATGCCTCAAACCTATAAACCACCTAATTTCTACCTTAAAAATTATATAGTCCTGCCAAAACCGGTTTGGCTCAATGGATGGAGCATCAGCCTGCAGACTGAAAGGTCCCAGGTTCAATTTCGGTCAAGGGCATATACCTTGGTTGCAGGCACATCTCCAGTAGGGGGTGTGCAAGAGGCAGCTGATTGATGTTCCTCTCTCATTGATGTTTCTAGCTTTCTATCCCTCTCTCTCTTCCTTTCTGTAAAAACTCAATAAAATATTTTTTTAAAAATTATATAGTTCTTTGAACTGTTTTTACTCATGCTTAGCAGAACAGGGCAAAAAAATGTCAAACTTCATATATATTAGCAAAGAGATGAATGTTAATTTTAATGTATCCTTTTGTCCCCAGGCCCCAAGTTTCTAATACCCTTGAGATTAAAATTAATAAACATCCTTTGTTTCTATATTAAGAATGATTCTACACCAAAATACACAAAAGACAATCTAGAAACAGAGAAAAGACGGGAATCTGAAAAATCAGTTCGCCTCAGCTCTCAGGTGAGTTGACCGTTTTATAGTAGATGAGAGAATTAAAAAAGCAGAGAACATAATAGAAATATTCTGGGAAAGGGAGTTCTGGGAGACTGAGCTATTGAGGTTTGTATTAAGGGATACAATACTTCTGATGGAGAGGTTAAGGAAAAGCTAGGAGAAGCTGGTCCCTGCCTTCCCTACAGTACACATCCCCATGTTCCCATGGAAAATATGGTGTAGAAACCAAAGTCATCTCCTCTGCTGAGCCTTTGGGAGGAGACTGGTCTTTGTTCAAGTCAGGGAGGGCAGGGGAGTCTGGCCATCGCATTGACTATTTTCTGCCCAATCTTTCAGATGAGGCGTGCAGTCAATCCGAATCACTGGCTGAGATGTTGCCCCATGCGTCCTCATCTGTCGTGTAGACACTGCCTTAGTGCAGCTGAGGGAACAGTCCTTCCTGGCCCCTGCCGCACATTACGAATTTATATTCACATGTGCCTGTTTTCGAATCAGGGCCAGCAGGTCACCATGATCAGGGTGAGCAGAGATCCAACTACTGATTTTGCAGGGGAGCCACAGTCAGTCTGGGTGAGGGGGAGGATGTGGGACACAGAAACTCTTCCCCTCACCTCTCCGTGGTCTCCTTCCATGTGGTTCCGCTCAGAGGGAGTGCTAGAGTGCTCTATTCCCTCTTACACATTGGAGCCCCATTACAGCCTTGTTCAGGGACCAGCTGCCCTCATCTTTGTAGTCTCGTAAAAAAAAAAAAAATGGGGATATGTCTTTTTAGCATCTGTTCATAGGCTTATTCTTAAGGGGAACTGTGGGGAAAGGGAGAAACAATGGTCAACTCTACGAAAGACCATTGAAGAGTGACAGGTGAAAAAAAAGATGAGATGTCAGATTTGTTTCTTGCTTTTGAATGCTCTTCCAGATATATCCCCACTTTATTGATCCTCAATGAAGTGAGGACTGGGCCAGATGGAATTAAGGGTCATAGTGGCCAGCGATCTTGTCAGTGGGGTTTGCTTTGTTTAGCTGGACATGGCTATTCTGTAAGCATGGGAGGGTTGGTTGGTGGCATATTACACCCCTGGATCTCTTCTCTCCTCAAAAGGGATCGCAAGAAGTACTGCCGAAGACAGAGTCTCGAGGGTACGTCGTGCGAAACCAGTGGTCTGGAACTTCACGGAACACAACCCCCAGAGTCCCATCCGTAGAAGAACAAAGAAGCAAGAGCGGCAATCTTAAGGTAGAGATGGGGATGAAAGGATGGAGTACATGACAGCATAATAGTAACAACAGTAATGATACTTCTGATGATGATGGTTAACATTTGTTGATGCTTTCTACGTGCCAGCCCCTGTTCTATATACTTACACTCCCCTGCCCCTCAAAACACTTATTTTACAGCTGAAAAAAGAAAAACCACATAGAATAACTTGCGTAAGATTTCACATTAATAATGCTAACGGAGCTAGATTAAAATCCAAGGTCGCTACATCTTTAATCATTTACAATGAAATGATTCAACTTTATGGTTTCCCCCTTCCTCTCTTCCTTCCACGAAACTGTGGAGTACTCAAGAGTAAGAACGAAGGTTGGAAAGGTCAACAATGAAGATAAATTGCTGATGAGTCTTTGTGTAGTGCTTTGGGCCCTTATGTAGAAGAAAAAGTTCAATTTGAGATTAAGTTCTTGATTGCAGAGAGCGGGTTGCACAGATCCCACCACTGGGAAAACTTACCTTCCCATCAATCCATCTAGCTCTGTGCAGACTGGCTCAATAATCTAATCACGAAAATGCCTTTCAAAATATGTGAAACATTCATAGCAACGGAAATAACCTATGGGTGCTTGATAATCTATTGCACACCTTAGTAAAGGAGAGCTGTGTCTAGAATGGTTCCTTCCTACTTAGGAAGGTTACTCTCTCCGGAGTTCCGCAGATGCCAGTGGAAGGGAGACACTGGGCTATGCAGCCTCGCAGCCTCCAGGGATCACACCTTAGTCACAGGGCAAAGACATGTCTCCTAGGTGCTCTGTAGAGTCTTTTGGGGGAACATCTGGTGTAGGTGCTCATGGGGTTAACCGGAGGTCACAAATGGAGGCAGTGGCAAGCAAGACCCTTCACTCAAACTTCCCTGGAAGTCTCTGACTGGGAAGGTATCCATACAGAAGTCAAATGACAGCACTTTGCAAAGGGTGTGCCATCTGCTAAGGGTAAGAAAGAGAGCTTGTGCCCCAGATACTACTAAAAAAAAATAAGAAAAGAAAAGAGAAATGGGGGAGGAGGAGCAATGAAAGCTAGCTGTCTGTGTCTATTAACAGAAACTAATAATATCTGGGGCCTTGAAATGTCTAAGCCCCTTAAAGCCCCACTTAAAAGAGCTGAGGTGTCTCAGAGGGAAGGTAGGGGAGGGTGAGAGTAAGGGAGAGAGATCAACCAAGGACTTGTATGCATGCATATAAGCCTAGTCAGTGGCCAAAGACAACAGGGGGAGGGGGCATGAGTGGGGGGGTTGGGAAGGTAATGGGGGATGAAGACAAATATGTAATACTTTAATGAATAAAGAAATTTTAAAAAAGAATGAGCTATGAGCAGAAGCTGAGGTAACAAAAAAAAGATCAATAAAGATAATCCTACCTAATAAAAGAGTGATATGCAAATTAACCATCACTCTACTATGCCCACAAGCCATGCCCACAAGCCAATCAGAGCTAGTATGCAAATTAACCCCAACCAAGATGGCTCCAGCCATAGAGAGCAGTTGAGAGGCTTGGGTTTTCCTGGCAATAGAGAAAGCCAAGCTTTCCACACACCCTGGCCAGCCTAGGCCTCCACTCAAGAATACAAAGTTTCAATTATAAGAGATAAATCTCAAGAAAAATGGTGGCAGCACAGAGCTGGAGAGAGCCAGTTAGGGTTGCCCCAGCAATAGAGGAAGCCAAGTTTTCCACCTGCCCTGGCCGGCCTAGGCCTTCACTCAAGGATACAAAGTTTCAATTATAAAAGGTAAACAAATTCAAATAGAAATGGGGGCAGCCACAGACTGAGCAGGAGACTTGGCTCCGCACCAGGCTATAAAGTTTCAATTGTAGAAGGTAAATAAATTCCAGATACCAGGGCCTCTGCTTGGATCTTCCGGGGGCATGGCTGACCTGCAAACTACCACAAGTTCCTTGCACAGGCTGCCCCACGCCCCAAGGGAACTCCCACCCTGATCCAGGACATTCGTCAGGGCAAACCAGTCTGCCCCCACCCATGCACCAGGCCTCTATCCTATCTAATAAAATAGAGTAATATGCAGATTGACCATCACTCCAACACACAACAGCTGCCCCCATGTGGTCAAAGATCCTGCCCCCATGTGGACACAAACTGGCCACTATAAGATGGCCAGCAGGGGAGGGCAAATGGGAGGCACCAGGCCTGCAAGGGAGGGCAGTTGAGAGGGACCAGGTCTGCAAGGGAGGGCAATTGGAGGCAATCAACCCCAGTTAGGGAAAGGGCAGTTAGGGGTGACTGGGCCAGCAGAGGAGGGAAGTTGGGGCAAACAGACTGGCACAGGAGCAGTTAGACATTAATCAGGCTGGCATGGGAGTGGTTAGGAAATGATCAGGCTGGCATGCAGAAGTGGTTAGGGGCAATCAGGGAGGCAGGCAGGCAAGCAGTTGGGAGCCAGCAGTCCTGGATTGTGAGAGGGATGAACATCCCTTGAGAGGTCCCAGATTGAAGAGGGTGCAGGATGGGCCGAGGGACACCCCACCCCTGCTCCACCTTGTAAACAAATTTGTGCACCGGGCCTCTAGCTAGAGAGGTTAAAAAAAAATTTAAAAAAAATAAAAATAAAAGAACTGAGGTGAACCAGGAGCCAATGAAAGGATAAGCAAGGACCAGAGGCCAGGGGACAGCTCCTTGCCTCCTGCTGGGTTGGGGGACAGGGGTCCCAAGACCAGAGTGCATCTCAGATGCCCATTTTCTTGCTCCAGGCCCCCACAAGTTCCACCACCTCCCGGACTTCCTCCACCTCCCACAGCCAGACGGAGTCCCAGCACGAGCTATCAGACCACGCCACCCCGTCCACGCCGCCGGTGCTGCGCACGCCACCCACACCGCGCACGCCACCCACGCCGCACACGCCACTCACGCCCGTGGACTCCAATCCTTGCACGCCCCCGGAGCCCCAGCCTCAGCCCCAGCCTCAGCCCTTGACCCGGCGCAGCATCAAGATGCATGAGGCCCATGACAACTGGAGCCACAGCATGATACGTGACAGGGACAGGGACAGGGATAGGGACAGGGACAGGGATGCCCGAGATGCCCGGGATGGCCGGGACTCCAGGGAGTCCCCGAGGGACTCCCGGGAGCCACAGCAGCGGGATTACCCGCGCACGCCTCCCCTGGAATGGAAGCCCTACCCTCAGCGCCGGAACACCTACAACTCCCAGGACCGGGACTACATGGCTGACATGGCCCGGCCGCGGGATGATGACGACGACGACGAGGAGGCCTATTGGTCATCAGTGAGGACACTGTACGAGAAGAACCCGGGCTGCTCACGCCCCCGGCCGGTGAGCAGAGCCTGCAGAGCCTGGTAGCCTGGGCTCCCCTCTGCTCAGCCCCAGAGCCCATGCCCCTCCCAGCATCTCTCCTCTCCATGCTGGAGGGAAGTCCAAGTGCATCCCAAAGCCCCTCTTGCAGTCTCTGGTGGTGGTGGTGGTGGTGGTGATGGTGGTGATGGGGTGGGGGTTAGGGGAGTGGAGGGTAAGAGGTGGAGGTGTAAGGGTGATGGTGGTGGTGTTGTGGGTGGTGGTGGTGGTGGTAGTGGTGTTAGTGGTGGTTGTAGTGGTGTTAGTGATAGTGGTGGTGGTGGTGGTGATTGTGGTGGTGATTGTGGTGGTGGTGGTGGTGGTGGTGGTGGTGGTGGTGGTGGTGGTGGTAGAGTGATTGTGGTGATGGTAGTGGTGGTGGTAATAGTGGTAGTGGTGGTGGTGGTGATAATGGTGGTGATGATTATGGTAGTGGTGGTGATGGTGGTGATGGGGTGGGGATTAGGGGAGTAGAGGGTGGGAGGTGGAGGTGGAAGGGTGATGGTGGTGGTGGTGGTGTTGGTGGTGACAGTAGTAGTGGTGGTGTTGGTGGTGGTGATGGTGGTGGTAGTGGTGGTGGTGGTAGTAGTGGTGGTGGTGGTGGTAGTGGTGGTGGTGGTGGTAGAGGTAGTGATTGTGGTGGTGGTGGTGGTGGTGGTGGTGGAGGTGGTGATGGTGGTGGTGATGGTAGAGGTGGTGGTGGTGGTGGTGATGGTGATGGGGTGGGGGTTAGGGGAGTAGAGGGTGGGAGGTGGAGCTGGGGAGGTGGTCCAGGCCTTAGCTGTTTCCAACATCCCAGTGCCCCAAACAAGAGCCCATCTGTGTCCTTCCCACCCTGCCCTGGGATGAGTACTATTCCTGACCGCTTCCCGCCTGTGTGACCGCCCCTGTCCCCGGCCCCTCTGTCTGCAGGCCAAACCCAAGCACGCCCTCACCATCGCTGTGTCCTCCCGGGCTCTGTTCAACATGGTGGACGGCAGGAAAGTCTACGAGGAGGAGGGCCTGGAAAAGTACATGGAGTACCAGCTCTGCAACGAGAATGTCATCCTGACGCCGGGACCCGCCTTCCGCTTCGTCAAGGTACCAGGAGGACCCAGGCCCGCCCTGGGGATCTGCCTCCTCCAGGTTCCAGGTTCCCTCACAGTCCCTAACCCCTCTTTGCCATTCTTGCCTTTGGAATTGACCCCAATCCGGTTTCTGCTTTCACAGAGGCTCCCAGAATGCTGAGGGAGGGCTGGGCCTAGATCTGAGAGGCTGTGCTTTCCTAGGCAGAGTCCTAACCATGAGACCAGTTCCCTCCTCAGAAGGAGCAGTAGTCAGAAAAAAAATAAAAAAATGAATTTACAGTTCCAAGCACTAGCAGAATAAAACATCTCCTTAAAACCTTAAAATGTGATGAAATTCATTCTTGCTGCTTTTGCCCCAAACCTAGCACATTTAAAAAAAATAAAAATATTCTAGACACTTAGGGGCATGGTTTTAATGAAGTACAGTTATCTAAACTTATACAGACATGTATAGCCCTTTCACTGTGATTCCCTATACAATATAATTTACACAAATATTACACAGTAGCATCATAACCAGGCAGAAACAAACGACATCTCCATTGTAAGTAGAGAGTATGTATGGGGCAAGGGAGGAAGCCACACACCTATTCTGAAGACTCCTGATTAGAAATGGACATAGTGGTCTTTGGCAACACACACACTAAAACTGGAACAACACAGACCATTAGCATGGCCCCTGTGCAAGGGCAACTATGCAGATTCATGGAGCATTCTATATTTCTCACAATAAAAAACAATCATCCATCCAAGTGCCCATAAATAGTCAATGGAATAAAGAAGATGTGGTACATATATCCCATGGAATATTACTTGGCTATAAAAAAAGAATGAAATCTTACCATTTGCAACAGCATGGATGGACTATAAAGTACGCTAAGTGAAACAAGTCAGGCAGAGAAAGACAAATCCTATGATTTTGCCAACATGTGCAATCTAAAGAACAAAGTAAATAAATAAAATAAAAAGGAAACACACACATAGATATAGAGAACAAATTAAGGGTTGCCAGAAGAAAGGGGCCTTGGGGGGCTGGGTCAAAAAGGGGGAGGGACTAAGAAATATGAATCGGTAATTACAAAATATTCATGGAGATATAAAGTATAGCATAGGGAATGTAGTCAATCAAATTGTAATACCTATGTATGGTGCCAAGTAGGTACTAGAATTATTGTCTGTGTGTGTGTGTGTGTGGGGGGGGGGGGGGTGATCACTTCAGGAATTATATAATTGTCTGACCACCGTGCTGGTATAAACTGATACTGAATGTGAGTTATAGTTGACAAGTAATATAATAATCATCAGCCTTTACAAAACAAAAAATAAAGTTGTACAAGGCCTAGCCTAACCTTCTCTCTGCCTATTCAACAGAGACAATGCTAGTAGACCCAATGTTAACAATTTCAATAAATATTATCACGGACTCACTAATCAATGACCGAAGTCCTATGTGTGAGGGGCATAAAGTACAGAAATGAATGACATCACCTCTCCTCCAGGGAGCCCTACCTCTCAGGGAAGCGCCTTCAGAGCTTGACTTTGACCCTGACGAAATCCCTTCCCTCCAGACTCCTAGGGCTCACCTTGCCCGGCCCTCTTACACACACACGCTCATGTTTGTAACCCACAGGCCCTGCAGCATGTCAATGCTAGACTCCGCGATCTGTACCCTGAAGAACACGAATTATTTGATATTGTACTGATGACTAATAACCATGCCCAAGTGGGAGTGCGGCTTATAAACAGCGTCAATCACTACGGTAAGTAAAATAAATACCATGTGGAAGCGGGGCTCGGCGCTCGGGAAGAGAGGGGCCACGTGATTGTGCTAACTGTGGCCTAATGAACGCAGTGTCTTTGATACCGACACCCCCTTCTGCATGTGGAATGTTTATTTGCCCATGTCAGAACAAGAGGGGCCATGTTCATTTTTAACTTCGGCCCGGAGCTGGGCCCAAAGCTCTGGACTTAACTTGTCAAGTGTGAATTTCAAAGTCTTAATCCCGGGCCCCGCGATGCATTTCTGGTTTATGTTCTTCCCTTCTGAACCTGACTTCAAGGGGCCGTCACCCCAGAGGCTTGTGCTGGGTGATCAAACCCCTTGCTCACCGCAGATCCATGGGAAAGGTTTCAAGGTTCGCACCTTGCCTTTCCACTCTTAAACTCGGGTTTTCCCTGGCTGCCCTCCCCGCACATCAAAAGTCTCTTCGGAGTCTTTCCATCCATGTGCTGAAGAGGGAAGTCCCCCTTCTTCCTGTTATGGAATTACCTGGCTTCTTATTTGGGACTTGAGCATATTTTCTAAGTGACATCAGTTTTATGGGGATGTCAAGCCAAAATAAGGTGTAAATGTGGCATACTTAAACGCTTGGTTGAAATTGGGCATATATATAAATAATGAAGATATATTACAAAGTTATAAATTGTATTGACCTATGTACTTTAAAAAATGTTTGCCTTTCAAAAATGCAGCTTTCATAGTGCAAGGACAAGAAAATAACATATGTAAGAGGTTTAGCATTGAAGGCGCGTAGATTAGTTACTCAGTAAAGGGCAGCTATGAGTTGATTTAGTAGGCGAGTTATGTCTCTCTATCCCTCACCACACTGAGCCCACAAAGGCAGTAGCACACAAAATCATCTTTGTGATTCACTTATTCAATCTGCTAATTAACTGACTGAGCCCAATCTTCTCATGCAGCCTCGTTCATGGAATAACAACCTGTCGCTCAGGAGAAGAGTTAGTCACTTGCCTTCTCCGGGTGCTGAAGGCATTTTGTATACCTCTCTGCTCTGGCCCTTGTTACTTTATAATTATCTGCTTACCAGCCTGGCTCCTCAGTGAACTGTCCCTTTGAATAAGGGACAATGTTCTAAGCATTTCTAAAGCCCCAGTGCCACCACATAATTTCTGTTCATTAAATCAATATAAGTAAGGCTTGTAGAGTGCAGTGTGGTGTCACAGATGCCCAGTGCTGGCACAAGTGAAAGAGTGAGAGCATTTTGTTAATACCACCACAGACACTTGCACTCAACTGTTGGAGGACCCCACCCACTCTCTAGGTCCATATGGGTGTCAGACTCAAAATGCTGCTTTTTGTTATATGCAGCTGCACAGTTTATCATCTATCTATAAACACTCTGATTGGGTACATATAGTCTATGCATGTTATACTTTATTTACACATTATTTAACCATGTTTTGCTTTTTTAAATAATCCCACTGAAACATCTCTACATAAATCTTTATCAGAGTTTCAGATTATTCCCAACAGTGGTCGGCAAACTCATTAGTCAACAGAGCCGCAGTTTGCCAACCACTGCCTTTAGAATAAAGTCCCCAAAAATTCAATCCTAGGTCAAAATGCATAATCCTGTTAAAAGTGCATTTATATTTTGTCAAATTATTTTTAGATAGCTTATACAATGTATATTCTCATCCATAGTGTACCTGGGTGCTTATTTTACAAACCTCTCACAAGCATCTAGTATTTGTAGTAATTGTTGTTGATTTAAAAGACATTTGATGGTATATTAATGTTCAGTCTGTTATTAATTCCATTTGAACTTCCAAGTCAGGAAAGAGAGACAATTTCAAACCTTTTGTTGATGTTTTGAAAAAAAAAATTGTTCAATTCCAAGCACAACCTTTTATTACTATTGTATTGTTACTGAAGACAGAAAGGGTATTTAAAATAGAACCACACCTTAACTGGCCTTTGCAACAAGTCAGGCGACTGCAGTTGAAGGACAAGAGTCAACAGGAACCAGTGGTTTAGTCTTAGTGTCCTTTTCTGTAATGAAGGCAATAACGCCTGCCAGTTATCGTGAGACTAAATTGGCAAGGTCAATGTGGATGGACCCCATATACTGTTATGTATCAAACACCTCAACTATTATACAAAATACTGGTGCTAAGAGGGTACTTCTCATTTTCCCATATTGGCACTCAGAAGGGAATTCTAAAACCTCAGAGGGCCCTCTGTCATTCCTCAGGTAGCTCTCCCTTGCATTTACAGTAGCGGTTTTGTCTTTAGTCTGGGACATAACAGAATCTTTCTTGCCCCTTAACAGGCTTGCTCATTGACCGCTTCTGTCTGACCGGTGGGAAAAGTCCTGTCGGCTATTTGAAGTCATATCTTACCAACTTCTACCTGTCTGCGGACTATGAAAAAGTCCAAGAAGCACTACAAGAAGGTAGAGGCGTGGTTTGATCCCGGTAGTCCATGGAGAGGTTCCATTGGGCTTGTCCTATGCCTATTGTTGGACTTCGTTAAGAGGTTTCTGCAAGTGGCAGCCCTGAAGTTTGCCTTCTAGGGCTTTGGCTTTTCTGGAGGTGGACGTCCTCAGTGATCGTCTCACACCCACTTGACACTTTCCTATTTCTTGTACCAGTGCGGTGCAGGGACTGCTGTGTTGAGATGTGTAGGTTGTGGAGAGGAGCCAAGTCCTCAGGGAATAAGAGCTAGAGATGAAACGCAAGGTCTGGGAGGGCTTATTATTTTTTCATGGGAGAGACTACGTCTCATGGCCCTGAGAGTGGGATTAATCAGTCCCCATGGTCTTCCAGGGATCGCCGCTGCAACCATGTTTGACACAGGCAAAGACATGTCTTACTGTGACTCGCAGCTCCGTGTGGCTTTTGATGGAGACTCTCTCCTCTTCTCTGAGGAGACGGAATATCCTACCAAGGAGCACGGGCTGGAGAAATTCTTTCAACATGAAGCACAATGTGAGACGAAGCCTATTGTTCAGGTGGGTTCAAGGAGCTCTAATTAACTCTGATCTCCCTCTTTTCCAATAGATACCGCTATTTGCTCCTTGTGATGGCTGTCAGATGACTTTAGGCAGCCACTCCTCAGTTCTGATCCTTTGCCATTTTCTCCCTTTCTTTTGGTAACTCCTATTTGGACTTTTCTTAAAAAAACATTCTTTTATCTAGCCTTTTGGAAATGTTTCTATGATCTTATGATAATGACTTCATCCATCAAATTATGAGTAACAGAGGCATTGTGGCTTACCAATAAGCCATTTCTGCATAACAGGTTCTCAAAATAGTAAGGTCGTTTCCAGTAGGTCAGTAAACATTTGTTGAACCTCTCTCTCTGTAACCTCAAACTCAATAAAGGGCATTGCTTAATTGAGAAAATCTGTACAACTGACAGCTTGAGTAGAATCGAAGAATGAGCCTCAAATAAGTGCAAACTATGAAAACCTAATCAATCTGAAACTGAACATGAACTTTCTTTGGAACCAGTCCATACACTGAAGGGAGAGTGTTAAAGCCACAGTCTGAAATGAACCAAGCTTTTGAACCAAAGGAAATCTGAAGAACCAAAATATTCTCCAAAGTGAACTAATGGATCATTCAGTCTTAATCTATGACTGTTACCTAGAAATTTAATTGGCCTCTTTTTATCAGCTCTTCTTGAAGTGTAGATACACCTTATTATATTTATTACATTTGTAAAAGTATGAATAGACAAACTGAAAGATTGGTCTTACTAACCAATCTTAAGTTACAGCAAGTGATAGTTAAACTGTGTGTGTGTGTGTGTGTGTGTGTGTTTAACTTTATAGGCCCTTCCTAAATAGCCACTTTGGAAGACCTGCTCTCATGCTAGGAAGTTGTTCAGTGTTAACAAAGCTCACTGTTGCAAGGAAAATCACTTGTGATATTTTATATTTGTCGGCTTTGCTGAAATTCAGAGCCCATTTTATATTATACATTAACTATTATTGAAATGTGGAAGAGCTACAAACACACACACACACACCCACACACACCCACCCACCCACACACACACACAATTTAAAAAAAATTACCACAAGATAATCTTAAAATACCATCGTAGGTAAAGCATTTTTTTTTTTTTTTTTTTTTTAGATTTTACATTTATCATTTACATTTTGGTTACTCTGTAGACTACTAGAAAGACAAAGTCACACATGGGCTTGGGATATATTTAATCAGAGAACCAAACTAAAACAATCATAAAGATTAGGGAGTAGAAAAGAAAGTGCATATCGCATGCCCTTATATAGAAATTATGTAACTAATGAAAGCTGGAGAAACACAGAGGAAAGGGTCTAAGGAAGACTAAATATGCTGATATCTTCAGCTACAATAGCTGATCACAGCATCAAATGTAAAGCTGATAAATAGAAATCTGAGAATCCTTTATAACACCAATGTAAACAATTAAAATTGGAAGGCTGAAGAAGAAATAGAGATAAAAGAGGTAAAAGTACTCTAATTTCATTATTTCTCATTGCAAGAAATAACAGAAAAATAGTCTTTAATGATGCAAGTGTAAATAAGTAAAATAGTATTTAATGACACCAATGTAAACAATTAAAATTGGAAGGCTGAAGAAGAAATAGAGGATAACTAAAAGGTAAAGAAGTAGCCTAATTTCACTATCTCTCATTGTAAAAAGTAATAAATCCTGGATTTTTAAAAAAGACTACTGGAAGTACTATAAAAATTTATAGTTATAAAGGTAACCAGTAAAAGGAAATAATATAAACCTTCCTAAATCTTAGAACACATACGCGCACACACACACACACACAAGACACTTGTTGTTGAACAATCCTTTAAAATCTTTTAGCATGAAAAATACAATAAAAGTCATAAGACAGAACCATTGCTGTGTAATACCTATAAATATAAATGTCCTAAAAGTCAACTTTTGTTTTAAAAATCAAGACTTCCAAATTGGATCAAATAGCAAAATCCAATTCTATGCTCCCATAGTACTACAGTTAAAACTAAAAATTGAAGATAAAAGTATAAGACAAGGTTGGATCCATGCCACAAAGGTATGAAACAAAACAAAGAAGTATACCTTATAAGGTTTGAGAGGGCAGGGCGGGGCGAGGATGAGCTCCTGACTGCGCCCCACAGGGCGGAGTTATCTCTAGCCCTCACCCAACCAATCAGGGTTAGCCGAGGCAGTGACATCACCACCGACTGGAGTAAAACCCCTGGACTGGGAGAAGTTTGCTCTCTCTACCGCCATGCTGCCGGCGTGGGTGGGAGGGGCCCATGCTAGCATGGAGAAGGCTCTTTTGTTTATTGCATCGGACTTGGCTCCCTGGTGGTGCTTGGGGATCACAAAGTCTGGGCATAACAGGTTAAAATGTGCAATTCACAAAAAGCAAATTAAGAGGGTAGTACTTTTGGTAATTAACTGAGCTTTATTTAGAATAGCTTTATTTATGTCTGTTGCCTTGGTTTAACTTGTCAAAAGAAATTTCTTTCACTCTTAAAATATCTGTTTAGAGAATAAATTATATCATCATCCTACATTTATTCAAAGAACCCAAGGATGGTTCCTCAGGAGGCAAAATAGCCACGTAAATGCCAGGAATTTCAGCATTGTGCCATGGGCCTTATGATACTGCATATATCTTTTATAAGCTCTTAAAAGACTCTGTTTTCTCAGCATTCACTTCATTGGCTTCACTCGATCACAGCTATGACATCTGTTCCTTTTACAGGGTCCCCTGAAGTGCTTTCTGGAAGAATTAGGCAGACTGCAAAAGAAGTTCTTTGCCAAAGACCAACGGTTATGTTGTCCTATCAGGACCTACCTGGTTACTGCCAGAAGCGCAGCCAGTTCGGGTGCCCGAGTGCTGAAATTGCTTCGCCGCTGGGGTCTAGAGATAGATGAAGCCCTTTTCCTTGCAGGAGCCTCCAAAGGTCCCATCTTGGTGAAAATTCGGCCCCACATCTTCTTTGATGACCGCATGTTCCGTATTGAAGGGGCCCAGAAATTGGGCACCAACTCCCCTCATGTACCGTATAGCTTAACTCAAAAAATGAACAATTAGAGATGGGGAGGAGAAATAAAGCAGTGAGTCTGGTATCACAGAAGCCACTTCTTGTGGATCTCTAGGGTATTTAGTTAGGAATGGCAGATGATTGGACCTCAGTACTTAGTTCCTTTGGAAAGGTTCTCTCTTCATTCTTTTGGAAAACAGTTGTGAACCTTCAAGTCACCTTCAAGCTACTTCTCTTTGAGATGTCAATGCTGTTGAATACCATGGCACCTTCCTTTGTGTGTAAATCATGATGCTGACTCTTTAGGATACATTTAGAATTTGAACCCTTGAATGCTTAAGAGGCTACCTCAGAAGCCTCCTTGGTCTTACAGTGCATTGCTCATTCTTGGATGTTGGTAAATAGAATAAATCGTTACAAATCATCATCATAGAATGGTGGTCTTCAAAGGGGGAAAGAGTAGGTTAAGTACACTTTGGAAAGTTAGAGCTTTTTAGTTCTTTGCCTCTGTGACCAGCCTTTGAATCAATGCAAAAGGAAAATGTCACTCCACCTGTGAATGTATACCAGTTCTGACACTAGTCATTCAGAAATAAATCAGCTGGTTATTTATATTCCATCTAAGACAAGCTCCAAGCAGAACCTCCTAGGAAGGGTTCTTTGAAGCTTATTTGATGGGTTTATTACCTGTGGACAACATTTTTGAAGTCTCTGGCTTTGGCCCTATGGTTGTATGGCATATTAAGCCTTGGCCATGGCTACAAGTGTGGCATGAAGTGCAGTGTCCTGCACTCTTGTTGTTACCATTGGTTTGCTTTCAAAAACATCATTAACCATAATCCACTAAATGATAAGGCATGGTAAGCTGGATGTTTTCATGTTACCTCATTTTCTCATCAAGTCAAACGTGTGTGTGTGTGTGTGTGAGTGTGTGTGTGTGTGATATAATATTGTTACCCTTCTTTTCAATCAATGAAGAACCTAAGATGCAAAAAAAGATTAAGTAGCTTGTCCAAGAACAGCAGCTAATAAATAGTAGGACTAAGAACCAAATTCAGGTCTTATTTACTTCAAATGCCATACATATATATATTTTTTTTTCCTGTGTTATACAATCTTCCAAACTGAATTGTTCTTATTGATTCTATGGCCATACGACCAACCCATCCTGAACAGATTAGTCATTCCATTAGATTAGATGCTTAAGCTACAAAGCAGTTACACAGCGGGTCTCAACTCCTCTCTCCTCCCCTCCCTCTCGTGTTCCTCCTATTCCATCACACCCCACCCACTTATGCCATTTCCACTGTGACTCCAGGTAAAGAAGATGCTGCTGGCATACATCTTTTGATCTGCTTCCTACTTTGATGTAAGCCAGTCCAAAATATATCAGTCATGACACTTACTGAGTACCTAGTGTTTTCTATGCATTCCCCAATGTCAAATCCACCAAAGAACTCAGACATAATCTCCTAAGGAAACTTAAAACCTTACCAATATCATGGATGAAGTCAAATGTGCAAACTCTAACAGCCAACACTAGAGGGCTGTTCTCAGTACCAAATGAGGGCCACAGATGAGGTTGAAGCGAATATCTGCATGGGCTGGCAGTGGTCAGGAAATGAAAAGAACTGAGGTGGGCTTTGAAGGGCAGAAAATAGATAAAACTGGAGAGAGAGACAGGAAACAGATGTGTTCCAGGCTAAGAATTTACAGGGAGCTTCACATAGGAGAAACAAAGGCTCTGGTCCCTTCCTGGTTTCTGTTCCTGGTGCCTCGTCTAATCCTCAGGGAGAGTGCTCTTCCCCACCCCAGTGCTTCACTCTCAGCACTCACACGACACTCCTTCTGCCTTTCTACCCCTTTTCTCTTTGTATCGTGAGTATCATTACATGTTGTAGCCTTCACAAGTGTAAAGGAGGGTAGGAGAGCTTTATTATAAAAATCTTAGAGGGATTTATTTCAACTATACACATTGGGAGGATCCTCTCTTGCTGGGAGATTCTAGAATGGGGCTGGGGCAGTGGAACTTTCTGCACCACACAAGTGAGCACCCTGTTCCCTGTGCTTTCCCAGAACCTAAGGGCCTGCACATATCAGGTGGGTGAGTAGATGGATGAATGATCACATAAGAGTCCATTGGGCTAAAGCCACAAGTGTTGAAGATGGGTTCCTGTGCAGTAACCCGGCATTGCTGAAGCCTGTTCCAGGGTACAGAGCACTTTCTGCTCCGGTTATGCATTTAATGGTCATATGGAAGGGGTGGGAGGTGGCCTGGCCAGAAATCCATGTTTACAGTAAGTGCAAGATTTTCCTACTGTATTCCTGCCAGTGTCAGAAAAGGCCCTTTGAGGATGCCCCTTCTACAGGGACCATATCAGAATCAGTTGGGAACTTGTTAGAAATGCAAATTCTCAGGTCCCATCTTGAACCAATTCAGTTCCTAACTCGGGTGCCTAGGCCCTGAAATTTCAGGGGGTTTTTTTGTTGTTGTTGTTTTGTTTCGTTTTTTTTTCTTTTCTACAAGCCCTTTGGGTGATTCTGACACGACGCTAAAGTTTGACAACCATTGGGCCTATCTATTTCCAACTGATTCATGTTGCTAAGTTCTTGGCCTCATTTATAGGGGGAGTGGGCGAAGAGGGGGCGGATTCGAGTCCTTCCTTAGGCATTAGCGGGCAGGGAAAAATTCTCGAGGGTGAAAAATTGAAGAGAGGGTTAACATGTCCCAGGAGCCCTTAAAACACGCTACACTATCCACGAAGTGTGGGATTTGTAAACCAGCCTATATAAAGAGTTGGCAATTCACAAATATGAACTGAGCATTCGCTTGGGGAAGGCGGCCACCACTCAGGGATTTCCTTGGGGAGGAGCCCCCTGACTCCTGTGAAAACCGGGGGCTGTGCTCACCCAGGACACTCAGGTAGGGAGGGAGCCTGCTTCAAGGAGTCACCAGGACCCACAGAGCACACCACCAGGGGCCCTCCAAGGAAAACTACAAGTCCCAGCATGCCCCACGCCACCCCTTGGAGGACAACAGGCCGCGCCCCAGAGTTCCTCGCGCCCAGGTGGCTTCCGGAAGTGCGGTGCCCGGGCGGCCATGGCAGTGGCCGCAGTGGCGGCGCTGTTGGCCGCGCTGGGCGGGGCCGTGTGGCTGGCGGCCCGGCGGTTCGTGGGGTCCGGCGCCCGGCGGCCGCCCGGAGCAGGGGAGGCCGGCCTCATGCGCGGGAAGACCGTGCTGATCACGGGCGCCAACAGCGGCCTGGGCCGCGCCACGGCCGCCGCGCTGCTGCGCCGGGGCGCGCGGGTGATCATGGGCTGCCGCGACCGCGCGCGCGCCGAGGCGGCGGCGGGCGAGCTGCGCCGCGACCTGCGGGACGGCGCCCCCGGCGCGGACCCCGGCGCCGACCCCGGCGGCGGCGCGGGCGAGCTGGTCGTCAAGGAGCTGGACCTCGCCTCCCTGCGCTCCGTGCGCGCCTTCTGCCGGGAGCTGCTCCAGGTGTGCAGCCCGCCGGCGGCGCGGGCCGGGCGGAGGGGCGGGCCGGGGGCCGGGGGCCGGGGCCGAGCCCGGGGTGTGACCTTGGGAAGGCCGGAAGCGGGAGGAGACTCGGTCACGTGATTGGGGGCGGTTGGGGAGCCCGGTCGTCCGAGGAAATGGAGAGGAGAACCGGCCCCAGAGGACCGTTAGCCAGGGTGCGCTTTCCCCAGGCCAAAGGGCACCCGGGCCCAGCCCGCCTTCCAGAGGGCCGGGAGCACGCAGGGGAAGTTATGATATCAACACTTACTAGGTTATTTGAGCCTAATTACTTACTATTCAATGAAATGGCAGACATTTCTTTTGGCCTCTGGGCATCATGGAATTAAAATAAATCAGAAGGACCGAGGACAACGTGCCCTTGCCCTTCCCCCGCGGGGCCAGGAGTTCAGCGCTCTGCCGCCAGGGGACTGGTTAGCACCTTCCCTAACCACAACCTGGCCTCCTTTCCCAATAAGCTGGAGCCTGGAGTCCCAGCTGCCTTGTGCTGGAAACAGGGACATACATACGTAAATATGTAATGCCTGGCATTTATTGGAAGGTTTCCCGTGTGCCAGGAGCTGCTCCAAGCATTTCAGATTATATATATGAAATGTATATAGTTATTGAAAGTGCCCTTGGCTATTTTTTTTTGCCGTGGAATTTGCGCAGTTACCTGTGAGGTGGGCATTGTTGCCCCCATTTTACAACACAAAGCACTGAAGGCAGCAGGAGGCGCATTGGGTGCCCAGGATCTGTCCCCAGTGCCCTTGCTTTCCACTCTTGGATTCCTGTTGCCCTCCAGGGACCTAGAGGCTATCTCTGTGCAGATGGTGAACTTTCCACTAAAGGGCATGTCCTCCATGGACATGGGCATAGAAGGGTTTCCTGCAGAGGGCGCTGGGAAGAGATTTCAGGTTCGCTGGCATAGGAGATGGGCCGGTATGAAATGGAGCCTTAGGTCTAGAGCAGAGGTTCCCAATCTTTCTTTCTTTATTTCTTTTTTAATTCCACGATGCCCTGAGTCCAAAAAGAAATATCTGCCGTCTTATTGATATTAAGTAATTAGGTTCAAATAACCCAATAAGTGTTGATATAACTTAGTCACTATTTGAAAAAACAGTCCACACAGTGAAACCATCCTTACTCGGGAATGTGTACCTGTTGTTCACTTGTCTGACTTCGGGATCAGATTGCACTTTGCCACCTTCATTTCTTGTTCCGCATTGGCTTCTAACACTGTACACACACGTGATTACAGCAGCTGCTAAATGCAGCTTCACGAAGATGTGACATCCCCAGAGAGAAGAGAGCACAACGTAATGGTGAAGCTGTGAGCCACCTGAAACTAGTTTTTGAGATGTTGAGCTGAGTATCTTTGTTTCCCTTGCGCACTTAAAATATTCCAGGGGATCCTGGGAGTTCCTTGTGCCTCTGGGGCATCCCGCCGCACAGTTTGGGAGCTGGTGCAGATCTGGAGAGGTTAGGGGGGCGTTCGTTGGTTTGTTTTCATGTCTACTTCATTATTAGAAGGAAAAAAAAACAGGTTAAAATTAAGAAATTAATACTCATAAGAGATGTTGGAAATATTAACAA